ACACGAAGGATCCTCTGGCTACGAACGTTACAGGGAACTAGAAAGTCAAGACAGTCTGCAGACCTGGGAGTGATACACACGAATTTAAACCTTAACATTCTCGTTACTACGCTTTATTTTGCCTTAAACAATCCTGTAAGCATGTTCTAAAACAAATTGAAATTTTTGAATGGCCCCTGTTGAATTTTTGAAAGTAGCTGTATCAATAAAGTAAGTTAAAGAAAATATGTAAGTTCTTTCGGAAATTGTAACTCCATGTGAATAAGTTTTGTGAAGGACTTATGACGTCTGCTGTCATTAAAGTGTTTCAGTCTATAGAATCAGTACATACTATAAATTTTAATTGTATAATTTAATGATTCAATTATGTTCATTTCGACTACATAAAATTTTCTCGATATAACATCGGATATTCGCAGCATCGCCATGTTTATAATTTTTAATATATATGTATATTCCGCACAAAATTTTACATGTCTCACTCCAGTGGTTCATTAGTTTTTTTGTATCGAAGCGAAAGTTAAATATAAATTTGTGCGAACACTTTGTTGGTATTTTACGTTATTAAATACTTAAACGTTGAATTTTTTTTTGAAGATCTTTTGGCTCAAGAAACTCTGTAACCTACACTAAGTGTTGCTGTCACCTCAGAAGCTCGCATGTTGATTATTATTATTATTTTTAATTAGAAGTTAAAAGTAAAGGTTGATTAGTGGTGATATGAATTTTGTAAGATGGTACATGGTGAGCAGGACAAAGTACGTCAATTGAAAGAGCCTTGTATACGTAGACTGAGGCAATCTTAATTCGTCTCTGAGAACAGGATCTTAATATCAGAGCGTTACTTTTCATCCTTGAAGCGTGATCTTTGTACGTTTCAAGCCAGTAGCTTTTCGACACTTGAGAGACGGGTGTATACAACTACATGCCTTGAGTCGGCTAGAAGGAATTTCGCTTTTATATTTCACAGAGACAGGTGAAATTCCCGTAATGCACTTATATACTTAAATGCAAGGGCTTCGTATCTCAAGTTTATCACTTAAATTTTCTTAAGAAAACATCATCATAATAATTGTCACAATAATTTATTTACCGTCTATACACAAACTTAAAAATGTTGTTTAAAATTACTTAAAATTATAACATTTTTTCATTAGATCCAGTATCTAATGAAAAAATGTTATAATTTTAAGTAATTTTAAACAACATTTTTAAGTTTGTGTATAGACGGTAAATAAATTATTGTGACAATTATTATGATGATGTTTTCTTAAGAAAATTTTGTCGTTAAGGCTTAATAACACCCCAAATACATTCATCAAAAATAAATATTTAATCAGAAACAAAGGTCGTTGATATCAACCACTGTTCAAATTTTCTGCTAGAACACTTTAAAAATAAACTCACGTCAAGCGAGTAATGGCTGTAATTTGTAAACCTTGATCACAGTAGTATAAAGTAACGAAAGTGAGCCATCGACTCTAAAAATAATGCATGTAGCGATTTGAAGAATAACAAGAAAAACTAAGTTACTGTTCAGTCTATTTTTATTATAGATTTTCCAGATGGTAACAGGTGTGAAGTGGCAAAGCTTCGGAACAGTCACCAACCTCCAAGGTTTATAATACCTTCCAGCAAACTATACGCGTCCGTGGTCTGCACCTGAAATATATGACCCCTTTTCTGATTTAGTCCAAACAAAAATTTATCTCAGAACAAAATAGCTTATAATATTATCATTATTTTTAATTCTACTGTCGGTAATAAGTTACTTGTAAGATTTTCATGGCAGTAAATATGTCGATGATGTCCTTGTGACGCTGTGTGGTAGATACCAATATTGAAGTAAGTGGTATATATAGTTACCACTGGGATATATAATTCGTATAAATGTAGCCTACATATTGGAAATAGTCATTTCATTTTCTTGTCCAACATAAAATTCACTGAAATGACAAACGTCGGTAAAATAAAAGCCTTGCTATTGGGTTTTTGTTTGTTACCGCGACTTACAGGGACGAATGATGTGTAACTGATTGTCCATTGTTTTACTGCGCTCGGCCGCCCTCTGGTATAGGGAAAAGAGAGTGAATGAGATTCGCTAACGAAATTAAAGCAATTTTCTGTCTGAAATAGACAGTTGATGGCCGCTGGAAATCAATTCGCAAAGCTAGCCGCCAGACAGAAGTTTTACCGCCGAAACTACAAAGAACAGGGAAGTCCAACTAATGTACAAAGAAATCTACATAAGACCCCGAAGTTAATTAATGTAACTTTGATTTAACTTTTGATTAAACATAATATATCTAGCTCCATGATATAGTGTCGTAATTGAAAAGTGCAGCTCATCCAGTCAAGACAGTTACTGATTTTATAAAATAAACACAGGTTTATCACCGTGGAGCGTTTTTTAGGGTAAGAGATAGGGCAGGCTTACTCATCATCAATTCATGTTCGTCCCCGTAATGCATGAGACCAAGTTATATACCCATACGAAACGTAAAATTGTAATATTGTTTGTTTTAGTCTCTACGTTTCTGGTTAGGGGACGGAAAACAAAGATTTTTAACTGCGTTACTCGAATGCAGGTAAAAGTAAAGCTGTTCCACTATGCGCCATGTAGGCGCTAGGGGGAGAGGTGATATGGCTCCTACTCATTCATAACCTCGGCACTAGATGGGGGTGAGTGCTTAATGTCACGTCCCGGCCGCGTTTTACCCATGGGAAAGGACCCCGGTACCCTTTGGACAGGAGGCTGGGTGGGCCCTAGAACAGGTCTGAACGTAGAGGCTGGAGGAAAAATACTCTGCCTCCGTCGGGGATCGAACCCCGGTCGTCCATCTACTCTTAATTTCTTTGTGAACGTAATTTTTCTTTTTCAATTAAATTAAATTAAATTCTTTATTATTAGTGTGCTGTATCAACAGCCAGAAGGCCAAATACAGATACAGAACAGAGACAAGCACATGAACACAATAAAAACATAAAAGGTAAAACAAGCAGAATATAAAGTACATTAATACGGAGGACGTTAATACACAAGAAAATTGCAACTAAATATATTAGCATATTTGTAAAAATAATTTAAATAAATTAAGTAAATTGTACTATTATAGAATGTGAATAAGTGTGACAATTTTCGTCTCGAATATGTCCAAGTCCCTGCAGACGACATTAGCAGCTGATGCGCATCTGGCAGAAATCAGGTAAACAATGTGTCTGAAGAAAGGAGTAGAGTAATTCACGAAACGTCGTAAACAAAACTACAATTCCGACACCGAACATTGTCCATCGGTGCGGTGTGATAACTGAGTTAAAATTTTGGGAATTTCTTTCTTCTGAGATGTTGGGGCCGTCTAGTACGGTGAAAGTTTACCGACGTTTCAGAGGTACTTACTGCCTCCATCGTCAGGGCGATGAGCAGCAAGAACCTATAAAACGTCGATAAATCACTACAAAAAAAGCATCTTCATACTCGACATTTTGAAAACTTGGAATAGGATTCTGTGGGGGATAACAAAATGGACTCCCCTGATTCTGAGTACCAGAAAGCGTTTCTGTGGCTGAGGGGTTCATTAGAGGGTGGAGTAACCCCGCAACTTGCTGGTGAAAGAACAATCTTCTTTATTCCACGTCCCTTGCCATGTATATAACCACTGTTTCAGCTTTATACATTGAATAATGGTGACATGAAAAAGGAGGTTTTGTTGAAGGACGGAAAATAATATTACGCCCACGGGGGAAAACTGAAATCGATGATGCTCGAATGGGTTCTATGTGTTCGTCCTAATTTCAAGAGTGTTTGTCTTTTTTGCTTTTTTTTTTTTTACTGTTTACAGAGTACTATAGATTTTCGCAATTTGACAAGGATGAAATTACTTTGCTGTTCTCAGTGATGGAATGCCTCAGGGCATTTGGTTCTAAACCTGTGCCTCTATACCAGTTTCTTTGGTCTTCGCGGCTAATGGTATTTTATCTTGTTAATGACCCGTAGTCGGATGAAATGATATCCTTTTCGTTTGCCTGTCAGCACGTAAGCCTTATATACTGGAAACAATATAATGCGTTAAATATAGGCCAGTATTATAAAGAAGGCAACGTTCAGGTAATGCTTTGATGACGAAAACACGCACGAAGTCTGATGACGCACGCGTGGGGTAAAAAATTTCTTTTGTTTGAATTTGTTTCAGTTCTTTTTTTTTTGTTAATAACCTTTTGTTTGCAGTAGAATCTATTAAGATGGCAGTAATGCTTCAGAAATGTTATCTTATTATTTTATATTTATTTTCGTTACAGGTGTGAGTTACAATCGCTTTATGTTTTATTGAGATTTTTCTAATATAGAGCTTAAATATTAAATCATGAATTAATTTTTATTAACTTTATTTAGTTAAAGGTAAGCTGTAAGTGTAGTAATGTATATATAAATTTGATATCCAATGTTTTCTTTAGATTATGAGAGTGAATTGTTTTGTTATAAAAATATGTTTAAAGTATTTTATATTTTTCTTTCAATAAGGGATTATAAGCCCACATTCTGGCTCTCCTCAACTTCTTAGCGGATTTTTTCTTACTTTTCCTGAGACGATTACTTAAACACCCACAACTAATTTTTTATACATCCTTATCAGATCTTTTTCTGTGATTGGATGCTACATAACATATGTTACTGACAAGAAACAAATTAAAGCTTACTAAAATGTCATAAGTGTACTGTTGTATTTCCTTAAAAAAATTGTGTTAAAACGGTACTTTATTGCGTGACCACTATCTGTACTTCACACTATTAGAATAATGTAAGTTTGTGGTTGGGGGGACAGCGAGAGGTTAGAAGCTGTGTTACAAGAGGTTTGTGTTGTTTCTGAAATTAATTTCCTGCAGTTTCGTGCTGTGGTCGTGTCAGGTCTGTGTGTGAGTGGGTGGGTTGGTAATAGTAAAGACGCTTACAGCCGTGGTCCGACTACATCCCAGCTACAAACTGCATTTCTTGCGTGTTGCAGGGGAGAGACCACAGTGCGATCCAACATCCCGCTCTTTGCCATACGACAGATGGGAGACGCATCGATAGAGAACATCGCAGTCGAGTGGTTCCGTGTTGTCCCAGGTACGATTATGCACATCAAAGTCTGCTTAAAATGACACTATTTTTGTTTTTATCTCAGTACCTCCAGACAGATGCTGGGACAGTGTTTTAAAACAGGCCCCATCTCCTTCTTTATACCCACTTCATCATTCATACACATTAGTCCATTCGACGCTATAATCTGTTTAGTTGAGTAAGCGTCCATAAATAGGTGTAGGAACGATGGGTTTTGACTGCAGGACGTAGAAAATGTCTAAAAATAGGATTCCGAAACTCGAATCACACTTTCGGGTTTAGAAATCCACGTAGTTTATAAAACAAACAAACAATATACGTCCTTTATTGAGTCTCAACTTATTTTTCGCAAATGTTGAATTATGGAAGAAAATGGCAAATGCGAAATTTATTGTTATTGAAGAATAGATTCGAGGGAAATAGTATTTTTTTCTTCCGTTTTTCGAAAATTACGAATAGGTATGTGCAAAAATGTACGTCATTAATTTATATAAGCTACCGTGATTCTTCCAAAAGGTGCAGCTTAAAATACATGTCACAAACGGGCATTGCTGGTAATGTTACAGATTTACAGTATTAAATTAGATAAATATAACAGGAATATTATGAAGCTCACTAGATGACCAATTCAGTGTTTTAGTACGAAAGTAAACATTATGGCATGTGGATGACGTCACAGTTTTCATATATGGATAGAGATTCTACTACTCATACAAAATGCATTTGAGTATGGGATAGGGTTTAGAGGTTTTGGGAATTCTGTCACCGTTCAGTAATGCCAGTAAGACTTCCATCTATGCCTACGTCGTCCAAGTATTCTCTTTACTTTAAGTGTACAGGCTCCAAAATGATGTTACGTTTAGATACAGTGACTGAGGGGCTTTTTGATGTGGAAGTTTGTTCAAATTCGTTTTAGTAGTTCATTTAAAAGCATTTTCTTACCGGCGCTTATAAAACATCCTGCAAAATTCTGTTTTACCGTAGGTAAATTACAGAGCTGCTAATTTACTTCGTGTCCCGCGTTGAACGTTTTAAGAATGTTTTCTGTCATATCACGCAACGGATTTCTGTCCTGGTCTGGAATTTATTTCCATCTCTTTCAGTTTTTTGGTTACTCTGTGTCTACCTGCTAAAATTCAGATGCTTTGAACATGGTTAAATTTGTTCAGATTCTTTGTGTTTCACGGATATTCTTTTAGTACAAAATCCTACGTATACAGACTAGATAAAACATATAATTGAATGATAAATATAATATTATTTGAGGTTTTCACAGCGGTGAGGATGACAATGTTATTCTTCTTGCTTCTGGAGCTATGTATACTCGTCGATGGATGCCAACTTTTCCATGTTAGCCCTGAAGATGGAAATAGTATATTTCTCCGAAACGATATATACTTACAAGTCCACAAGGCATGACGACAAATGACCAACATGGACATAAAAAAGTATTGTTTGTGGATGAAATTACTGGAAATTTGTTCTGAACTGCGTACCGATAGAGTATTGGCATTCTGGCCTTTGAAGAGCAGCTGGTTTGCTGTGCTCTATTGTTAGTTCAGCCCGCGAGGTGATTAAACTATGTCAGAAGTTAGTTCTCTCGCCTCTGTATATACGAATAGAATTCCATGTATCCATCGTCCTTTTATTTGTCCTACATTCAAATTACATACTGTGGGTGACTTTAATAGACTTGCAGTATTGCTTGGAATTCTGATAGTAAGACTTTTAAGACGTGGGAGTAAATTGATAAGATGGAGGATAATATTAAAATATATCTTAAAGGGCTAATTTGAGTGTATATATTGACTAGAATAAGCTGATTAACATTAGGGCATAGTGGCGAGATTTTGTGAACATGGTAATGGAGCTTCTTATAGGTCCATTGTAATTTATATTTTATTTTAAACTGGCATTTAAGTTAATTGTATTTCTAAAAAAATGTCAAGCTGACTGACCAACCCCATGGAGCAAAGTGCTCCTTCAGAAGCTGATAATTCTCAACTCCCCTAAGAAATTGTCGGGCGCATATACTTCACTATGATCTGCTCATCCTCGTATGCTATTTAACCCTTTAAAGCCCAGAGGTATTTATATGTACCACTTGCTTCAACAGTCAGCAACTCTTTACTTTTATTTATCGGTTTTATATGATTCTCAGTGTAAATATAATTTATTTTCCTATGCAGCGCCAATTAATTTCTTTTTGTAACGTAGAAACGTTGTGTTTTCTTTGCGGTACTGAGTTATTTTAAATATCACTTAAACGAGCTTAAATTATTTACTGAACTTCCCAAATTATATAGCTTTAACATTCAATAACGATAAAGTAAAAATTCCACCGTCGCTGTTATCAATCTGTCATTAATTATCACCCGTACGTCTTGATTATTTATCCTTATAGCGTGGTTTTTATCCCCCACCCCAAAAAAAAGTGTCTCTCGCTTGTCCCCCACACGTGGTTTTTATCCCCCTCCCAAAAAAGTGTCTCTCGCTTGTCCCCCACAAATTTTCTCTTTGCTGCTACTCTTTTGGTATCTTTTCTAACTCTTCGCCTTCAAAGGGTTGATTTTAAGTTACGTTGCTTTGAGGTTAGGTAAGGATCTCCGAGTTTATGTTAGGTTTGGTTAAGTTAAGGCGTATGAGGTTATAGAATTTCTCCTCGCCATGTCGGTATAAAGTCTCACTGACGGTCATAACTCAAAATGGCCACCTTGTGTGTATCGCTGTTTTCCAGCCCCTATTTAATCCCCACCTTGTCCCTTACAACCCTTTTATTCAGTTATAAATAAATTTGTAACGTATTCTGCGTCCTCTTACCAATTTTTATAAGAACGTAATCATATAAAAGAGAAACACAGTAAATTTTACGATCATGGAAAACTAACAGTCTCCTTGACAGAAGGCTCATAAATTTTCTATGGCCTCGAGGTGAAACCCCTCCCCTCCCCACTCTACAGAAAGAATAAAATTTACAGAAACGTTTTTAAAAATCTTTTTGTGTGTTTTGTGTGGAATTTTTGAATGATGAAGTGTTCTGTAATGTATCTTATTAAAAGCCAGTTACTTTTATTTCAAGATTATACATAAAAATCCACAAAGATTTATATTTTGGACGCCAGAGGTCATAAACGTTCCTTATATGGTGCTTGCAGTTTTGTGTACTGGTGTGTGTAATATAAGATAAAAAATGAATTTCTGTTCGCGTGTGAGCGTCTTCTAAATGGTCAATAGGGATTGGATATTTTATAAAAGCTTTCTTGCACGGCTTTAAATCGACCCTTCGATGATTGAACTGGCAGGGGATTTATATGTTGATCACCAGAACGTGACTTCGGGGGCCATTACTTTGTTGACTGAGGTTTGTGGTTTAGTCAGCAGTGCTTTGTTACTGCATGACTCCGCTGCCTTATAAACATCTCCTCTGGTTTATGTTTGACCTAGCTTTTAAGCTACTGCGTTTCTGCGTTAAAGTGTGATTGAATCAACTCACACAATGAACGGATTCCTTTATAGCTTTGTTTATAGATTAAAAAGCA